CTTACTATATGAAGCATAAGGCCGTAGATCAAAGCACTGACATAACCATACCAGCATCACGTACCGTAGCAGAAGCGCAGACTATCTCAGTATCAGTAGACCCGTATGAAGAGTCCCCTGCTTATCAATCCCACCAAACTCTAATCAAGAACAAATCTGCAAATACCCCATATCCTGCAGGCCACGATAACACTCCAAGTCATCAAATTTTTAACATTTTACTCCTCCCACTATACAAATCACCAATAGGTCATATCCACATCAACGATCGATAATCAACCAAACCCCATAAGCCAGCCTCGACAAACGAACCCCCAATCTCATCGTGCGCCACTACATAATCTATCATCTGCCCACATACGCATTCCTCTCCCATCAGATGCGTCGCCACTTGCAGTGCGCCATCCACCCTCTTCCTCGCTTCGACTCTGCTGCGCGACTCACATAAAGATCGAAATGTCTCCCCCGCTATCGCCTCCTTCAAAGCATTATTCTATGTTCCGCTCGGAACCGCTCGACGCATTTTCGGTGACCACAGCAATCCTTACGTAATCATTCCCGCCCCGACTCCTTTGTAACTACTTGCTCTCTGGCCTGGTGATGATACACTATAAGACCAGTAACATATGATGTATAACATACGATGTATTATACACCACGAATGTGATGTATCACTTCAATCCAAATGATATATCACATTGTTACGTATCACATATCTCATATGATGTATGTTACACATCAGTATTATGTATCACCATCGGCTCCACATACGTCATTGACAGTATGCAAACCACGTATAGGTACAATAACCCCTTCCAGCAAGACAATCGCAACAACAGCGCAAGCGCAAGTGGAGCAAAAGTATAATTGTCACGATTATGTATTGATTGCGATAATCCCAACAGCGTACGTTATGTAGAGAACATGTAGACAGTCTTCAGAGCACATAGACATGTATGGCGTAGGCTAACCAGAACATAATAGGCATGGAGTGCTATATGTACTTCGAGACGTATGGCAGAACTAAGCACCCATGGTACATAATTGTACGTTGTAGTATTCCAATGAGTCTCTGGTGGGCCCCCGGGGGGCCCAACAGAGACCCATTAAGTAACGAGGTAGGTCTACCCCTAGCTAGTCTAGTTATAGCGTTGGGGGAACCATAGGCAAACGACCGGGTATCTTTTGTATGAGCGAAATTTTGACGAACGAGGTGAATTTTTTTTTTCTCTACATAATTTGTTATTATTTTTCTTCCATTAATAAAGACTTTTTTTCACCAGAAGGTAATATTGTATTTTATTTTGAATATAGTAGATAATAATACAAGGAACAAGCGTGTGTTTAGTGCCAGACAAGCAGCGGTAACAACTAGAAATTAGAAAGGACCAAAAACGCACAGAAAATCCCAGACGATGTCGAATTTAGAACCTCATCAATCCTTGGACTACAGAACAGCGTATCACACTAATAGTGGCGGGTACATGGGCCATCATGGACAGAGTGCCAATGGAGCGACAGGGACGTCCCAGTCGAGTGTTGGGACGCCTAGCACGGGGGCCCAGGGGCCCTCGAGCCAGGCCCAACCATCGAGCCAGACGTCGACCTCATCGACGACACAACAACAGCCATCGCTCCAACCGCTCCATTCGAACCCACAATTGCAATCACAGCATCCTCGAGGGTCGTCGAGCATTCCGCAGTTCCAACAGTACCCCTCGAACTACTACTCGGATCAGTACCAGCAACAGTACCAGCAATTGGTCAACGGCACCAACCAGTCGTCGATGCTGAGTCAGTCTAGCCAACCCCAGTTGGCCACCCAGCCCCACCAACAGCCACCACAACCAGTGAATGCGGGTGCCATGGGCCAGTACCAGAGCTCGATGGGCGTTCCTCAGCAATTCCCCTACTCGTACTACATGCAATTTAACCAATCGCAAAACCAGTCCAACGACATGAACTACCCTTACTCGCGCTACTCTAACTATCCTCCAGCGGCTGCTTCATCCACCTCGTCGTCGGCAGCTCCTCCACAGAACTATTCTGGCTACCAACAATCGATTCCTCAGATCAATAACCAGATCACTCAACCACAACCACAGCACTACAGCAATGTAAATAATCCAGGAACCACGCCAGCACCGGGTGGTGATGCCGCCGCCGGTTATTCATCTAACTACACCCCTGTTCCAGATACACTTAATTCGTCAAATAATTCTTCAGTGGGCCAATATCAACCCCCAGGTGTTAGACCAAGAGTCACCACAACCATGTGGGAAGACGAGAAGACATTGTGCTACCAAGTCGATGCTAATAACGTTTCAGTGGTTAGAAGAGCCGATAACAATATGATAAACGGTACCAAATTGTTAAATGTTGCGCAAATGACAAGAGGCCGCAGAGATGGTATTTTGAAATCAGAGAAAGTTAGACATGTGGTTAAAATTGGATCCATGCATTTAAAAGGTGTTTGGATTCCATTCGAAAGAGCCTTGGCCATGGCTCAAAGAGAAGGAATTGTCGATTTATTATATCCATTATTTGTCAGAGATATCAAGCGTGTTATTCAAACTGGTGTAACCCCAGCCAACAATGCATCTGCAGAACCTGCGACTGGTTCGGGTACTCCTGGTGTCACTGCACCTGCTGCTGCTCCGAACAATCAATTAAGCACTCCAAGCCAGTCAACTACCGGTGCATCAGCTATGAATTTGAATAACTACTATCCTCCATATGCACAATATCCTCAACCACAAGCAGGTGGCGCTGACCCTGCCACTGCGTCCAATCAATCACCACAACAAAACTTAAGTGAGTTCCACTCATCTCAGCCACATCAGCAACCTGGTCAACAACAAGTTTACAGTTATCAACAACCTTATTATGCTCCAAACCAATACTACCAGCCTTATAATCCTCAGAGCAATTATTCTTCTTATAATTCTCAACCTGTTTATCCTGGTTATGGTTATGCAAATCAACAATCTCAGCAATCCCAACCTCAAGCAGCAGGTCATCAACAATCTCAGCAAATTCCTCAAGCGCAAGGTCAGTCAGGCCAATCTCAAAGTTCTTTACCACAAACATCTGATCCAAACAGTTCGAATATTGATTCGAGTCATGCAAACGAAACTTCCTCTAATGCCGAAGATAAGGCTAAGGCGGAGGAAAAGGATTGAGGACCATAATAGAACACATGGATGAGAATTGATGGAAAGAATCTAGATAAACCAAGATCACATTTCAATTAATCGATTGAAGTGTTAAGGCATGTTTAAAATATGGGAGAAAGATACATATGGTAGAAAATACATATGGTAGTTGATCAGTTTTTAGACAAAAGTTGTATTATTAATTTTTTGTATTTGTTGTATTATTGTTTAGTTTGTATGCTAACTCCTAATAAATTTATATCATACATACATACAACTGTAACTAACAAGATCATACACGCTATTCAAATAGTGCTACACTAAAGATAATTATAAGTTTCCATATAAGCATTGGTAGTTTCGTAAAAAATTATTTGTATTAATCACTATACTTACTACTTAAGAAAGCAAAACCAAATTGACTACTCATCCTTCTCAATTGGTTGCGATGGGTTCAAATCATCATAAGATTTTTGTAAGCCTCCAACTTGTTTCTTCAAGGTGGCAATGTCAATTTCCTTCTGTTCAATTAACTTCTTATATTTAGCAACTTCACTTGATTCTTGTCCTTCGCCGGTAACTTTAGAATTTCCTTCTGCTTCACTCGCGGATAACTTTCTGTATTCAGATTCCTTCAAGACTAATTTCTTTAATATGGTGCTTACGGTAAAAATTGCAAGCATCAAATATAAGACAGCACCAGTAATGTACAAATTTCTTTGAGAATAAAACTTGGATGCCAATTGGTCGTAAGACATAGTCCCAAATTGGTTGTTTTGCGAGTTTAAGGCGAAGTATGGATTACCCAAATGCCCAAACCTTTGCAATCTCTGGATGCAATCCATAAATTGCATGCTCAACAAGATTACAGTAAACCAGAGTCCTATCCTAAAGTTTTTCAGGTTTCTTAACAAGATAGATATATCTATGATCTTTACCCTAACTGGATGAGGCAATGGCAAAACCATCAGCAATAAGGTTACCATTTCCAATATTAAGGCACCAAAAACTAAAGACATTTGAATACTCATGATGATATACTTGGATTGTTATTATTTTCTACTTCTAATTAACTAGTAAATTATTCGATAAGAAGCTAAGGATGGTAAGCATGTATTTCAGTTCTTGTTCATTCTTCGTGTCAAAAATCCTTCGGTACTGTATATACTGTAAATTCCATACAATGCAATTTCACTTACATTTAGTTAGATATAACTATATACTAGTACAATTAGTTGTTTATATGCCATATACTCGCTTAGCGTAATTGTAGGCAAAAATGCTAAAAAGAATCATGCCCGCTATTATGGACCAAAACCATGCTAAACCTTCGTAGTCTTGCCCAGGAACAATACAGTTCATACCCCATAATCCAGTAACGACGTTAATTGGGAGCACAATAGTACCAAGAACAGTAATCTTTCCTAACACATCATTGGTATCATTGTTGACTTGAGTCATATCAATGTTAATTTGAGCGAGATAATTGGAATGGAAACGGGCCAATAACTTCTCATAATGATTTAATGATTGAACCATGGTTACAATATGATCCTGAATATCACCCAAGTACATACCGATCTCCAGCTTAGGTGAACTCAGAGCATTTCTGAAATTGTCGGCCTCTAATTTTTCACTGAATCTCTTACTGAACCCTTTAATGACATCAGCCTTGGAACCGAGAAGTCTGAGAACAGACATAACCCGCTTACGGCATTCACCAATTCTTCGCAACATGTCACCCTTACGCTTCCAACCTAGGATCTTAGACGAAGTGGACTTGGAACTCGAAGATTTCGAAGATTTCTTGGACTCTGATTTGGTTGACAAAGGCGCGTATGTCTTGTAACGGGAGTCAAACCCACCGTTATCAACAGTCGACTTGGATCTCTTTCTTTTGTAGAATACATTGTTGGCGCTAGTGTTTCTAGGGGTGTTTGAGGCACGGCGGTCGTTTTCGCTCTCGTCGTCAGAAGAGTCATGGTCACTGTCATCTTCGCTATCAGAATCACCAGAATGCATCTTTAATATAGCATCTTCGATTAAGTTCACCTCTTCTTCAATGCTTTCAATCATCGGAGCAAATGAGTCAGTAATATCATCAATGATCGCATAACAAATCCAATCTGAAGATACTGTCAAATAATCCTTTAATAGCCTTGCTCTTCTTCTCACATTAATCGGATGAGGCGTCGGAGAGAAATGAAAAGTAATTACTGCATGCTTGAATATAATCATGTACATGTTTAATGGCAGCAATTCCCCTTCTCTGATTTTCTTTGCTTTAGATTTATTGGAACTAGATTCTTTAGTATTGTGCAAGTTACTGGACGGTTTACTTTCATTGCCTTTAACAAGCTTTCTGAAAAATTTCCAAATTTTTGACTTTCTTTCAGGGGTGCCAAATATACTATTTCCATCATTGTTACTGTCATACATCTCCTGCAATTTATTGAGCTTTTTCTCTTGCTCCTTAGCCCTTTGTCTACGCCTTTCATAGACGATGTCAAAAGATGTAAAACAAATGAAATAGTACGATTTAAATAATTCGACTTTCTCTCTAGTTTCGCCTAAAAAGATATCTTCTGTAGTCAATGGATGGATACCAAAAGTCTTTGATAATACCTTCATCTCTTCTTCTGTGGGATCTAAAACATCAAGCCAAAATGGATCGCAATCAAGAGGTAATTCAGATCCAACTGTAGTTCCTGGTGCTGGACTAGGCTCCAAGGTATTTCCCTTTGAGTTAGATCCTCCCAATCTATTCATTTCACCGATATTTGCTTCATTTAATGCAGTCAATGGGACCGGAGTTCCGGTACTAGTTGGAGTATGATGGCTTCCATGGAGACTAGCATTTGATGAAGAAGAAGACGTCTTCTGGGAATAAAAGCTAGGCAGGAATAACTCACGCAAGGTAGTTGATTCATCATCAGAATCTTCCTCATCTTGGTCTTGATATTCGTCATTACCTTCTTTGGTATTACCTCCCCATTTCTTTGCCAATGGTACAGTATCTTCGGTAACCTTCTTGCTGATACTGTCTGCTAATAATCCACTAATGGTAGGCGAGTGTATGGTCTTGTCTAAATCTTCTCTAAAATAAGTGAATCTGCACAACTTACCATCGGCCTTTGCAGACTTGAAACTAGTCTGTTGTTTAGTATTTCTCGCTGGGTCTTTTGGATTATTTAAAATAGTTGGTATCCTATCCTTCGATTTCTCCCAGGGTTGAATTGGTGTGGGCCTTATACGAAACGATTCGTTCACCAGACTCATCGATTCGATTTCATTAATTTGAGCATTCTCCAACAATGGAGTGTTTTCAGCACTATCTTCAGGTGAGCTTTTTTTCTTAGACTTTTTCTTCTTATCGCCAACCTTGCTATTAACAGACACTGCAAGGGGTTGTTGGAAGTTAACATTCTGTTCATCTTCCATTTCTGGGTTCGCCTTAAAATAATCACCGACTTCATCTTCGTTCTTTTCGAAATCATCAGCGTATTCATTTAATTCTTCTCGGACAAATTCTTCTAAGACTTTCAAATCTGGCCATTCATAATTGTCTTCCCTATCACCTGTTCCGTCAGCACGATCATAGTAATCTGGAAAGCACACATCATCCAAAGAAGTCGAATCACTGGAATGCTCAGAAGAAGGATTAGATCCTCCAAATTCCAATGAATTCATAGATCCATTGTCACTACGGCTATCGCTCTCTTCATTAAACGGATCATTCCATCCATGCGACATTTGTCTTTGTTCTTTTGCATACTGATCCATATCTAACGCAATTGACCCATAAGATCTCGTATCAGTAGGTGAATATCCAGTACCTGGACTCGTATCATTTTGAACTAACAAATTCTGCAAGTTTCTGTTGGTCAATGGTAAACTAGGTTGTTTCTTAAATGCTGGATTTCTATTATTATATTCCGCACTTGTAGTTGTATGTCTTCTGGAAGCAAGATTCCCTTGGCCAGAGCTTGACTGAACTCCTCTTCTTCTTGATCTTGCTGGCGAAGAATGAATATGTGCTAAATTATCATACATCCTATGGTCTATATATGATCCACTTTTAATGGTGTTATCTTTGTTTTCACTTTCATCATTATTTGCATTCGATGAAGTTGTCGACTCGACATCTTGGTTATCTTTAAGGGGACTTGACGAATATTTTCCTCCTTTTCTATTTTTATTCTTATTCTTGCCCATATTTTCTAAATTCTATTCTTTAGTATATAAAATAGTTCTTAGAAGAATATAAAACTTCGATATACATGGAAAAAAAAACTGCATCAAGCTTGCTGTGAAATGAAATTCAAGATTTTGAGAATCATCCAAATCGGATTTTTGGTCTGATAAGCTACATGCAAATATAACGCAATTTCAACATCTCATATTTAGATATTGTATTCTAAACTACATACTATTTTTTATAATTACCACAAGGATTGTCGAAAATATTTACTAGCACTTGAAAATTGATGTAGATAAAGGTCCTCACAAAATGTTATTGCCACAATTTTGCATTGATTAGCAATAATACCTAAAGTCTACATATAATTGTCCTATTAATAAGAAGAAATCAATAAGAATAAATAGAATGATAATTGAAATCTGCCTATATTTCTATCAGTAACAATATTTTTTGCCTACCGAATCAAGTAAATGCATTACATCTACGACAGTAATAAGATCTAGCATCACAGTTAACTCAGGATGGTTCATCAATCGGCATCTTCATCGCTCTCTTCTTCCTCTTTCTTTGCCTCAGGCTTATTATCCCCAACTGCAGCTTCCTTTTTATCAGCATCATTTTCATTATTTTCGGATTGCTTGGTCCTTTTTCTGTTTGGTTCAACCCCATTGAGTACATCTAATGCGTCTTGAACTTCACCAGAGGATTGTACTAACTTCAACCAGGTATCTTCAGTTAATGATATTCCCTTTTTCCCGGGTTTTTTCTCATTAGTATCCTTATCAATGTAAAATTCTCTTATATCAACCAAGTTCACATTATTGAATTTACGAACAGTAATTTGTTTCTTCTTATCAAGCTCAATTACTGTGTCATTGGAGCTAGATGTGCTTGGATTGGTTTTATTGGAAAATGATCTCTTATACGCCATTTTTATACCTTTAAGTATCAATTATAGATATAAATTCTGCTATGTACTTTCAATGTTCTAAATGTTGGCATAATATTGACACAAAACTACAGATGTCATATCTAAATCTTTAAGACAATATAAATATTAAATTTCCAAAGCTGAAACTACTCACAAATATTCCAGCGTTGTAATGTAGTTGCTAGATAGCCTATAAATAATTGCTAAAATCCTAATTATTGTTATTTTGAGCAAGGCCACTTTTCCATGTCTCATTATAGTGCTTTGGACCAAGAAGATCTTTTACCTCATCAAAGAGAATTTGATCCTTATCATTAACATTCCCTATGTTATCCTTTACGAGCCAATAGTTACTTATGGCTGCTTCCAACTCTTCTATGTTAGAAACCCCCAAAACAATCGAACAATCTTTGTTCCAGGTCAAATTGTTAAATTTTTCATCTCCATTTGGACTTCCAAACAACCATTTCTTATACGCAAATCGTGTAGACAAATCTGCAAGTTCCAAGTCGTTGTGGTTAATCTTCAAATGTTCTGCAATTTCTGCAATTTTTTCTTTCAACTCCTGAGAGGCCGGGTGAAAATCAAGAGTCTTTCTTGAATTCAATAACGACATACTCAAGATCGATCCGTTCATCAACTTCTTTATTCCACATTTATCGAAAAAATCTTGGTATAAATCACATAAAATTGTATTTTGAAGACACCCGTTCGAATACGACAATACAGCATCTATAGGACCGATTGTATTCGCATAATTCGTATAACATTGTAAAGCAACTTTATATAATAGCTTCACTGGATACCCTGATATGCCTATATTCTTCACTAACCCCTCATCTTTCATCAGACGCAATTCTTTCAAGGCACCGTAAATTTCTTCCTCGTTGACAAATTCAATATCATGCATGTACACTAAATCAAGGTACGTAGTATTCAATCTCTCAAGTGACCGTAACACCGATTTCCTAACGCTTTCTCTCGAATAGTCGAACTCATCCTCGCCTATTCTTCCAGCCTTTGTGCAAATGAAATAGGACTCACGCGCCCATTTGCCGTCTAACTGCTTCAAAGCTTTTCCTAGGAGCTCCTCTGATCTTCCGTAGTAGGGGGATGTATCTATAGCTAATAGACCATTCTTGAAAGCGAGGTCGAGCAAATCATAAGCTGGAATACCTGCCGGGTCAGAAGTATAAATATAATTAAATACCGCTCCTCCAATAATTAGAGGCGGTAGATCTTTTATTGAACGAGTATTGTGAATATGGGATCTCCCTATTGGTTTAACTAGTGTTATTGTCATTCTTGTCGTCTTATTCTGCCTCTAGATGTTAAAATTAAATATTATTAATCCATATTAATGATGGAAAAGATTAGGAATCCATCGCTTCTTCACGTGCAGATGTACAATGCGCCATAACGTTAACGCTATAGCTTGTTGCAAACTTTAAATATACAATTATAAATACAGTTAATAAAAGAACTATACCCTAAAATAAATCTTGTCCTCCCTCAGACAAGTAGTTACCAGGAACCAACCCAACCATACCAGCTCTATCATTACAATTTTGAGCTAGTTCACAAACGAACCAATTATCTTCTTGTTTGTGAATAATATACATAAACCAACCTTTTTTGAAATACAATTCACCATGATCCTGTGGTTTGTAGGTATACAAAGCTTTTGCCTTTGATATGTAAGGAGTGTTTCCTATTGAAGTCAAATCGGAGTTTGAAGGTTGTTGAATCATAGCATTGAGATTCGTGTAAGATTTCGTAGGTGACCTCAGTAAGGATCTTTGGGGTTTTTTATTTGGACTTTGGAATTGGTCATTAGGTTTTTTGATTATGCATGTGTCTACCAGTTGGTCCATGTGGTCTGCAATTTGGTAGTCTGAAAGCCTATCATTGGAAAGAGGATCGAGCATTGACTTCGGTCTTTGTCTCCTTCCCTTGACAGGTGACCCATCCATGTTGGCAATATTTTGATTCCTTGTAGGCGAAGAGAACATTATGGAATCATGTCTTGTTGCAATTTCATCGCGATCGTTGATGAAATCGGAGTGCGTTTTCATTTTGCCAAATGGTGTGGATGGAGCAGTTTTAGCTCTTGATTCCTCGTGGTTCCCTGTTCCTCTGACAGATCTTCTATATTGATTTATGTCACCATCTCCGCCCGAATTCAAGTCTTCCAACGCTTTAGCAATAAAGTCAATTGAAAAGTCTTTTATTATAGGAACATTTTGAGCTGTTTCATTAGTATCATGTGGGTTATGAGGAAACGAGGGTAATTCCTTCGATTTCAAATTAATCTGCTCTTGAAATTGAGTTAATTGTTTCTCCTTTCTACGAGGAGATGCCCAGTTTCTTTCTGTATTAGAAGACCCTGAATAGTTAGAACCGGTGTAGTTGGTAGGATTCGAATAATTAGATGAGCCATTACTGTTGGTAAATTTATGAATTTTCTCTTTCTCACCAACAGAAAAAACATCATTTTTATCTTGAGCACTATAAACCGAGTTTGTTCTGTCAAATCCAGCTGGCGGCTTTCTAGTAGGAGACCCTAAGAACCCATTTGGTGCACTTATAGGTATATCATTAGCTGGAGGTAAGGGGAGATTAGCCTTTTCCAAAGTTTCCTTTACAAGAGGTAATGGGGCTTTGGCCGTTACTTCTTGGGTAGGCGATGATCTTTGCGTTCCTTGCGAAAATGATGAATATGATCTCGATAGTAACTGATCGTTGTCTGGGTTCTCAAATTCTGCTCTCGTGAATTCAGATTCTCTTTGGCCATCATCATATCCATTCATAAAGTCAACAAATACAGGAGGGTTATACATTTTATCACCTGTACCATATGCATCCCCAAATTCTTGTAAATCTTGTGGTGGTGATACCAAAGCGAATACTGACCTTGCCAAGTCAACCGATTGATCATTATCAACGCACAATGTTGCAATATTATTACAGAAAGTGAAGCAATTAACTTTACAAATTTGAATCCTTTCAACTTCCAATTGATAAAAGTCTTTTAGTGCTATGGCCCAATCCCGTACAAATATTTCGTTTAGATCTGTGAAATTTGTCACTGCATTTTGATAGTGTTTCTTCGTATTAGCATTTGAAGCTACTATTTTGTTTAACTTGTTCTCATTTTTTTCTAATTCTTTACCCCATGTAGTCTGCACGAGTAGCCTAAGGGATTTAATCTGAGAGCATTCTTCCTGGTATCTATTCTTATTCATTTCCAAGGTTTTAAAAAGATCATTTTGTTTATTAATAATTTTTTGCATGTGCAGCTCAATCTTAGAAACCTTTTTATAATAAATAGAATAGAAATGGTTAAGCTTGTCATAATTTGTTTGCGTTAAAGATCTTATAAACTTTGAGTTATCTTTCACCATATGTTTATTTTCTAACGCCAATTTGTCGAGTGATTTCTTCAACGACCCCGTCTCACGAGATCCCAAGAGAATTTTCCCATTAAGCTTCTCTAGTCTCTTATTGTAGTCCTTTTCTATTTGAATCCTTTCTTTGTAAAAATCTAACAACTCTTCGAGTGTTGTCAACGCATGCTTTATTTTTGTTTGGATAACTCTAAATCCTGAGTCTCGATGGCCCCAAAAGTTATTAACAAACGTTGTATTCTCACTGCGTATCCGCTCAATTCTTGTCATGTCTTGCCCTGTGATACTGTCCGAAGCCTAGAAAGAAAATACTTAATCACTGTGCTTTTTTTGATATCACACCTTCCATAAACGCTGTTTATTCCATTTCTTTCTAATTGAGAATGTTGATTTTTCTCCCTAATTGGGAAGTTAATGAAGAGCAGCAGATAAAAGGTTATATGCAAGATCTATTTGCAAAATACCCATCCAGACTCTCTATTTGGAATCATGTTTTACCATTACCATGAACCATGCTGGTCAAAGCTTGGTAGAATAAGTAACATGTCATATTAGCCGTTTTGGTTACTTATATATTCTCGATTCCGTGCATCTTTCCAATAATGCATAGAAGAGTAAATAAGGTTTTCTTATCGGTAGCAAATTTTTCTTACATTAACTACATTCGATCACCATTTCTCTAATACAAATAATACATATATATGCTCTTATGATAGAATTCTCATCAACTACCACTACCACTAGAACTGACGACAATAGGGTGAATTCCTTACTCTTCTAGTTACAGATCACTCTGAATAAACAGTTGGTTAAAGTCTCGGCATTCGGTCCGACTGTGGATTATTCGCACTATTAACCACGGATACTCCCGACATTTAGAATGAGGATTCGAGCCGATACAGAAAAATTGGAAAGATATATATATGTATACATATAGGCACACATATACGAAACGAAGTATCTATAGCCTGTATAACATCATATAAAGTAAAGATTATATTTAATCGGCTTATAATAATTGAATTCCTTTAGTTTAAAAGCATTTTTGTATTGCATGCATATTTAATACCCAAATAGAAAATACGAAAAAAAATTGATATGGTTAACATATCAGAGATTAAAGAAACCAAAACGTATAAGGTTTTGGGGTCCGTGGTATCATTTCTTATTTCACAGTGGTTTTTTTTGTTTTTAGGGGCATTTATTGCGATAGCACATTCCTATCCCGAGTTTGCTAAACAAGGTGGGACAATAAGAGCAGAATATTCGATTCAATATGGTGCAGTAGCAGTGATTTTCTTGATTAGTGGGTTGTCGATGTCGACGAAGCTGCTTCAGGTCAATTTATTTAATTGGAGAGCACATTTCACTGTTTTATCTACTTCATTTTTGATCACAAGTTCTATTATATACGGAATAGTGTGTGGGATAAAAGCTGCTAATGACCCTTCTATGGACGAGTGGTTATTGGCAGGGATGATTGTTACACATGCATGTCCAACTACGGTATCATCCAATGTGGTTATGACCAAACAGGCACATGGAAACGATGTGTTGACATTATTGGAAGTATCTGTGGGAAATGTATTAGGGGCCTTCATAACTCCGGCCTTGGCCCAGATGTACTTGGTGGGTACTTGGGAATTTGCAAATCCAACTCATCAATCTACTGGAGACACTACAATTAAAGAGTTATATAAAGAGACCATGAAACAATTGGGATTATCATTATTCGTACCATTATTTGTGGGGCAAGTAATTCAGAATATTTTCCCAAAGCAAACGAAATGGGCTTTAACCACATTCAAATTGGCCAAGGTTGGATCTTTCATGTTGTTATTAATTATGTTTCAGTCATTTTCAACTGCATTTGCTCAGCATGCTTTTACATCTGTCAGTCATCAATCGATTATTTTCCTTGTATTTTTCAATATTGGAATTTATCTTTTCTTCACCGTCTTGACTTATTTCTATTCTAGACCATTGTTTATTTTGAGATATTTCGATGAGGAACCTAACGAATCGCATTCCAAGTTCTACAAATACGGTTACAAGATACTTCGACCTTTCTACTATAACAGACGGGACACAGTGGCCATAATGTTATGTGGACCTGCGAAAACAGCTGCTCTAGGAGTATCTATTATTTCGTCACAATACGGTTCAAAGAATGAAAACTTAGGAAAATTGTTAGTTCCTTTGGTATTATACCAGGCTGAACAAGTCATTACGGCACAGGTTTTAGTTAATTTCATGAGAAAATGGATCTATGCTGGAGACAAAAAGCCCAATGATATTGAAAGTGATGATCAAGGCGATAAAAATTTACCTAATGAGAGCGAGCAGTCCAACTCAGTGGACAACAATAATGAGTCAACAAGTCAAATTACTAGACATAATTCTAGCATCACAAATTCGGGCGATATTAATAAGCTATCTTCATAGATGTTTAAATCTAATTATACATACATGTTTAAAGTACGTTAGTTTAATTTGAATAATTATACATTTTTTAGCATTTACAAATGGTTTATTTTAAAAATTATGAATTCGAATAATTATAATAACAAAAGCTAGGGTTTTTGAGCACGAAAATAGAAGCTAAGTTAAATTCCACTTAATTTAAGTAGCTCTTCATACATCAGCAAAAGCAATATGATGAGATTTGTGAAATAGCAATCTCATTCGTTTTGATTTTGAAGAGAGGTTTAAGATTATTTAATAAGGTATCATTGAAGAAAAGTCCATTTAGCGCATGAAATGTAAGTCATATTCTATTAGATTAGGTCAATTCAGATAAGAGCCATTATAGCCAATGGCACCAATGCAATTGATAATGATGAAACCCTGTTCATTGGTGCAGTACCCTCATAAGTACCCACACTAGCTGAAGATGAGGTATCTGAGCTGGTAGATGATTCAGAACCTGATCCGTTATCTAATCCGTTGTCTGATCCTGAACCTGAACTTGATCCGTTATTTGATCCATTGTCTGAGCCTGATCCATTATCATTAGTAGTAGCAGTAGTTACAGGGCCTTATGGGGTATGGGGTAGAGCTAGTGGCAGAGTTCTGATCCCTCTCACTTGTTACTGAGTTACTGGTCTCACTAGCGGAAGATGTACCAGTAGGCAATCCTGGTGGTGCTGATGAGGATCCTGAGCTAGAACCTTCTGTTCCGCTTGGTTTATGGGAGCTTTCTGGTGCCGAATAACTTGCTGGTGCTGAAGAACTTGGAGGGATATCAGGGATTGGTGAACAATCACTGCAACTCAGAGGAGTCTTTAAGACCGCCTTCTGGAATGTTAATAATTCCAGTACCAAAGTCAGGGTCAACAATTTCTATCATTGATTTATCGTATCCACTTCCAATATCGAATTGGTAAGTAAATGGGCCACCTGAGGTACCACTATATACGGTCAAGATACCCGTACTGTCACCATAGTCAAAGGATTGAACCATTATTTTCAAAAGTAGTAGCTGCACCACCTCCTAAATCAGTCTTAGCTCCATTTCTTTCTGTTTGGTTAAAATACAAAAGGCCATCGTTACTAAGATCGCCTGAGCTCATAAGTGGAAGGGCTCTACTACCATCAGCGGCAAACCACATTTTACCTGTGTTTTGGAAATGGGCAGAAGTGAACAGATAGTTTGCTGGAGTTGTGGCTCTACAAGAATCAAACACAACCTCTCCTGAGTTGCTAATATCGCCAGCACCAGTATAGAAAATAGCCACAGAGTTTGGTTTATTCTTGAGGTATAAATTACCAGCAATATTAAGCTGTCCTGTTGTCGAAAAATAATGATTGTCAAGTATAGTCCAAGTTGCACACCTTTAAGACTGTATATTAATTTTTGAGTTCAAATGATGAGAAGCATGCATACGTATTTATGGGGAAATAATACTCTGCATGGAACATGCATTCTTTCAAGAGCTGGCAATTAAAGTTTAAACTTTTAGCGGGACGTAGAATATCGCCTGGATTTAAAGGAATTTGTGTTACTAATTATTAGGAAGATCATATTTAATACTATTGCAAGCGTATTCAGAATAGTACGAGAAAGTTTTAAAAGATACAGTATAATTTATATTTACGAAATTCAGTTATTCTAGGCTCTCTTAGTCGTTTGTGCGTAATTATGAATCCTGGCTAATGGTAATATGTAAAATAGAACCACCGGTTGACAAAGCAAAAAATGCAAAAGTTGGTGGGAAAACAGTGCATTTGGTGTTGTTTTGTCTTTGGACTATTACAATAGTGTTTATTGTAACGTTTTCTTATTGTAAATAGTGAATGCATTACTCTAATCTACGAAATGATTTTGTTAAAATAAAAAAAACTGAAAACAGTAGTGATCGCGTTTCTCACCCATCGTCTTTGCCATTTGCTGGAAAGCGTTATTATGCGGGGTGTTATTTGTAGAACAAGCTATATGCAAAAAGGTGCACCTAACAATAGGCTTATTCACAAATATTAGTCGAAATCTAAATTTGTATCGCAAGAAGAGGTCAATATTTTGAAGTCACATGAATCAATAACCAATAATTATAAAAAGGAAATGGAGAATTTCTACAAACACTATGTGGACGGATCTGAGACCTTGTCTCTATTAATGCATGATGATTCCCTAGATTACCCCCATGTCCACATATGTGCGAATTACAACACTAAACAGATAGTTTACTTGCTTTGCGCTTGCCTCGTGGACATATTATGATTCACAGTCTAGCGATATGGAATTTTTAAATAAATGAACAACCCAAATTTTTGAACATTCGTCCGCGACAGACAAATTGATGCCATCGGTAAGAGATGGCTTAGTATTCAAGCCTCGCTATAACTTTAATTTTTAATAGCAGTTCGCGCGCAAGCAGACTAGTGCTTTTTTTCAAGCTGCGAATGAAAAGTGGGGAGGTAAGTCTAAGGTCCCAAGTCCATACAATCTTCAATTTTTTTACCACTAATTGTTAGTTTATGATCTAGTAAAGTACATAAGCTCTACCAATATCATCCCAATCGAATAGAGTATTATAAACCATAATAAACTATTTTAGCGCCCATTAGTATAATTCTAAGAGTATTGCAATCTTTTTTGTTAAAATTTGCAATATTCTAATACTTTAACAAGCGTAATTTTTTTCAGTATGCATTTTCATAGCCTAATTCAAAATCGCCAGCTCTACAAACGAATTCAACCAGGTAGTAATATCCACCACCATTTAAAGAAACAGAAAGCTATTTAAAGAAATAAAAGGAACTAATCTTAGACAGCGAGGTAGGAGCCAATATGGCAAGACCGAGTAAATCATGGCTTGAAGGTAGCAGTTGTTCATAGCATAGGCGATGTCGGCTCCACCATAACAAGCTCATGTGAAATACGGCTCATGATAAGCCTAGCACATCCATTCCACGCAACCAAAAGTGGGCTAAATGTTTCCCAAAAGGAATGTACGGGGCTCTAGGCTCTATTGAAATAAAATTTTCAAACACCGACTCCTTGCTGAGTGCGCGAGGCTGCTGCATCCACCCATACACCTGACAACATACCGACACCTTTTGCAACCCTCCGTCGCGTCGATGAGGCCTTTCACACGTCTACCGTGATGCACCCTTCGCTAAATTAAGGTCATCGCTGCAACAACCGGCGTTGACTTCGTCTACTGTTGGCTCGGTAGCCTCTTTCTGATGTGTCGCAAGACGCTCGATCGCCATTCTACCCGCACCGTTTTTCCAGAAACAGCAATATCCTCCATTCGCTCTTCAGGTCGCACCTCCTGACCCATTGCCTAGCCACCCATATATATACTGCTCTAATAATCACCCTAGTTCCACCATACCATTATTCCATCTCAGCACACCAACCCTCCTACGCTGACTACGGCTCCATGCCATCACCTACTGCCTATCTCACCCTCCACGCTTCACGCTCCATGACTTGCCTTTGTTCCATCAACTGTAGTACAATAGACCTGTCCCAAAACTCTATCGCAACACCCTTTTGTAGTCGCTTTCCCATTCTTCGGGTTACTACTGCATTCCTTCGATGGCATAGAGCCACCATATCATCCATACACCCATACTAATTGGTGGAATTTATCGCCATAATGGCGCACGACATTCGCGGTTCACGATTCACGAAATTTTTCAACACGATATGCATTTTTGAGTGAAGTTCTCTTATGTTACGCGTTAGATTTTACAAGGAGATTTATATATATATCAAGTTGGCAGAAGTACGTTAAAGATTGGCCAAAGTAAGTTGATTGCAGCGTCTGTTTTACATTTTAAACATAGGTTGAAATGCAATTACAGGGGTCTAAGACAGGTAGCGAGGCCAAGTATGGGCCGCCAACTCACATTAGACGCAAGCCGTATAATTTGATGCTAGAACTCCTTGAAAGCCAGGCGAATCGGAAATTGGTGAGTGAGTACGAAGCAGATGGTACGAAGGTTTTGGCGCAGTTAGAAGCTTCTAGGGGGGTGAATCCGGCAATGATTGACTTGCAGCCAGAGATCCAATGGTTCATGAGACCCTTTTTGTTGGATTTTCTTATTGAGCTCCATTCATCGTTCAAATTACAGCCACAAACATTGTTTTTGTGCTTGAGCATTATTGACCGTTACTGTGCTAAGAGAATCGTGTTCAAGAGGCACTACCAGCTCGTGGGATGTACTGCTCTTTGGATTGCTGGCAAATACGAAGATAAAAAGAGCCGGGTGCCTACGTTGAGAGAGTTATCAATAATGTGTCGTAACGCATACGACGAAGAGATGTTTATCCAGATGGAGATGCACATATTGGCCACACTCGAGTGGTCGTTGGGTCATGCAAATTTAGAGGAATGTTTGCAACTAGCCATTTCGTCATGTAACATCACCACCCACGGCACTCCGTGTAAATACAATAATACAAGCGACAGATCGAACTCCATGAACAATGCATCCAAGGTATCAGCCGTCACTGCAGTGGGTCGTTTCTTGTGTGAATTATCATTGTACGACAAGTTTTTCTTGTCGGTTCCGTCATCACTCATCGCAGTAACAGCCAACTTAATGTCCTGTTCCATGCTACAAATTCCTAATGCATCTGCTTCATTGCGAGCTATATTTAAGAAGTACACATCCGAATCTAATATTCCCGGATTCGATTTTAATGAATACGATGAAAATTCCGAGAATAGACAACCCGAAGTTGAAGGTCCCTTCTTGAGTGGTTTCGATTCATCCTCGCTTAATACTATTAGAAAAATCTGTTTAATGCTTATCGTACAGTTAGGTAAAGTAACTGAAGTATTATCTAAGAAATATGACGATTTGGGAGTTATTCAAGTCGTCAAAAATTTTAATAATCGCTACAGCTTTGCGGTTTCGGCTATTTATGAAAACCAGAATATAATCCAAGAAGCCTCTATGATAGATCTTGCTAATTCGAAGCTATGCAACCTCGCAGACATAGTTTTGCAACTTCCAAACCTGAATCTTGAAACGAAAAATGAACATCCTGTTCCTTTAACCCCACCATCGGCAACTTCACAGTACTCAGTCTTTTCCAATAAGAGTCTGGCGTCAGTCTGCACACCAATACATTCAACTTATTTGCCTAGTTCAGAGAGAATGGACGATTTTTCGCCTATGCAAGATCCAGGTAATAATGGTTGGTCATCTCCTGCCTCATCTGCTAAAATTCACATATAGTAAACTCGCTGTTACCGTTTATTGAGAGTATCAGTAGTATTGCATTAATTCAGTTCTATTAACTTACATAATTTTAATAAAATATTAATTTACGTAATTAACTATAAATACCTTGTGTAAGTAATTGGAACTGATCATATAACCTTGTATATACACTTCCAATACTTTTACCAATTAAGCCCGTTTCCACAAATGCATCACATTCTTCGTCAGTTAAATCCAATTGCAATCTTTGCTTCAACAAAACACTGGTTTGAGAACCATTTTTGAAACATGGCAAACTAGAATCCTTTTGCATTAGATCAACAATATTGATTAAGTGATCACAATTCTTTCTTAAAGCCTTAAATGATTCTTTACATAATTCCTTAAATTTAAGATATTGAGCGCCATCCAAGCCTCCTAATACTTCAACGTATTCAAATATCAACTTAAAAGGTGCAGCTTCAAAGCCAACACTGCCCGGTGAATTTGATAATAAGAATCCAAAATCAATATGAATAATATGACCTTCATTGTCCAACATAATGTTACCATTATGTCTATCCTTTATTTGGAGAAGGTAACAAATGATTGAGTAAGCAGCCAAACTTCTAGCAAAATTACTTTGGGCCTTTTTATATTTGTATGAATCTTCTTCTCCATAAACCTTATTAAAATAATCCTTGAGTGAAGCAACTTTACCTTTCGGATTTTCACCACTTTTCAATGTTAAGTCTGTTAAAGTTTTCTTGATCGAATGAATCGACATGGCATTATTAATTGTCTCTACAAGACCAGTATTCGCACTTGTAACTATGATTTTCATGTTTTTTGTCCATACACCGACATTGTTTGTTTTCCAAATGCTTGAAATCATTGATATTAATTGGCAAGCAAAAGCTTCCTGTGGCAAATCATCACCATTTTTTGCAATCACCGAACAAAGATCCCAGTTCTTTAAATGCCCATAGGCACTAGCTTGTCTTATACGATTCTTCTTAGTCGCCCAATCTTCACTTAATTTGAAATCATTTTCTAGCTTCCTTTCACCTGCATCAGTTGAATTTTTTCCTACATGAACACTTTGCATAGCTTGAATCTGCTTATAGTCAATGTTCTCAAATTTATCTTGCAATGCTTTCATAGAATCAATAATACGTGCTCTAATAGCGGCAGTTTGCTCAGTATTTGTCTGGCCTGATTTTTCAAGTTGCTGTAACATGACTGCAGCTATTCTCATTTGAGTAGATAAGTCCTTCGTGTCCAAAGTAGGAGTTCCTGGTGAGCTAGGTGAAATTAAGTCAGGTGTTTGTCTTCTCTCTGGGTTTGGCTTTTGTGGTGCAGGCAGCGATATATCTACTCTATGTGTGCTCATGTCGTTTGCCTGTCTTGAATTCAAATGATTGGTAATGAAACTCTTCTCGTTCGAAAGAGCTACGACAGACATATCACCTAAATCAGCCTCGTCAAAGCTTGTGTTTGCTTCAGTACTTTCATTTTGACGAGGAGAATCAATACTTGATCGAGCAAAATCAGTCGTGGATGTTTTGCTGCGTCTGCCACTAGCATAAACAGAATCATGGGTGGATTTGCTAAGGATAATGTTTTTATTGTGCTCACTCAACGGATCAAAATCCATTTCTTCGCTCAAATATTCGATTAATAACAAGAATGGGACTCTCTCGGCTGAGTTCAAGACACATGCTTCATTCACATTAAGTTTAATTATTCTGTGAAACTTTTTATTTTGTTTACTACTAATTGGTAACAACTGAGGAATGTCAATTTCCGATGGAAATATAGTGTTATTAATGATTGAAAGCTCGGCTCTTAAGGACGTCAAACGTGCTTCTTTAGGTACTTGAGACAATCTCATCGATATATTTTGCAAACCCATCATGAACTCAGTTTCCTTCTTAAAATAATTTACCTGTAAATACTTAATCTTCTGGTCTTGATGCATTGGAAGAATTCTATGATTATTCACATATTTGTGGTCTTGTAAATCTAATGAAGCAAGTGATGTCGACGATGAGTCAGATATGACAGGTGTAATGGGCATTTCATCGAGTGACCCTTCTCTATTATTTGATCTCAAATCAGGCATTGAGTGGAATGCTATTTTGTTTTCTTTCAAAGGTGGTCTTGTGTATATATCCGCATTAACATCGACAAGTGACTCCGATTCCAACCCAAGTTGTTCAAGCTCTTTTGCTCTCTTAATGAAGGATTTTTTGGATATAATTCTCGTATTTATCTTTATATCTCTTTCGAGCGAATAGTCACTGTTATAATGCCTATCTTCCAAAGTATCCAAACTGGACAAGGTGGCCGAAGTTGGAACCTTATGTGGGGTCTTAGAGATATCATCTAAACCCCCTTTCACCGATTCATCATGTGTCTTAGTAGTACCTGGATTCGACAACGAGCGGTGTACATTATCGGTCTTGACATTTTCACTATTCGACGTTGCCCTTCCTCTATTTTTGAGGGTCAAATTTTTGGTCAATGACTTGTGGAAATTAGCCAATTTAAATAAAAGTGATTTCTGCTGTCTTCCCTGCGATTCAATAATAGGCCTGGAATAAGTATTGATCTGCGGAACAGCAATTGAAGCCAAAACAGCACCACACATCGCGATGGTCGGTTGCAAGTTTTCTCTGAACTCACTATGTTTCTTCTGTGCCGCTGGTGAATCATGCAAAGCCTCCTGGTTGAACATCACGTTCTGAAGCTCATTAATAAAACTTCTCACAATATGAAACGAGTAAGATTCCGGATCATTCTTCAACTCAAACACATACGCTTGTAAATTCCAAAACGTTATCAAACAAAAATGAGGATATTTCCTACTATAATCCAACAAAAAGTCATTTAATGCCATCGATTCCGTTTCAAAACTCACCAATAATTGAATAAGCTGTGGTATATGGAATTCAACTTCCAAGTAGCTGAAATTGTAGAGCTTCTTGACGAGGTAATGATGGACTCCAATGTTGTCTATGTGGATCTTTAGCTGATACAAACATTGGAAGATATCAAACGTAGGAGACTCCGTCAATTCAAGCAATGACTCATATGCTTGCTCCATTATAAGTGTTCTTATTCCGAATACTATGGAATGTTAGTTATTTACTATATAGTGCTATATATGAAAAGGACAATTCAACAAATCGGATCACGTGACCGTCCTTTACTGAATCTATAGATTCCATTACTAAGTACGGGGACAAGTCAGAATGGTAACGGGGATTAGTGATAAACAAGAGGTTGGATGGCGATAGTCCATACAGTTAGCCTACTGCTGTTGGTATATCTCTTTAAATTTTTGGTTTAATTAATATAGTTCATTATAAAACTACCTGATTATATAAAAATAGAACTCAATACGATTAACAAGTATTATGTAGACTATATATCTAAACAGGAGGAGCATCCGCAGGAGCAGCGGGAGCATCAACAAAATGTTCTTGTTCAGGGGTCTCAGTAGTGTTCTTTTTAAAAGCGGGTATTTGGAGTGACGCATTGTCAATCTGACCCGGTAATATTGGCATAGTATCGAAGATGGTTTGTCTTAAGGTTTCAGGATCGCTCTCCAAATCGAATCTCTTGTATATGACATATTCTAAATCTTGAGCACCTTTATCTTTATCGGTGACAGGTCTAAAGAGCTTTGGATGGAATTCCACCCCGTCTTCGAGTCTCTTCTTTGCTTTGATACGTTGGTCGCCTTCAACTTTCGCCTTTTCGTTGGTAGCAAGTTCGTGATCTCTCTTGCCCAACGCATTGATAGTTGGAGCCCACAAACGGCGCGATTCGTATTCCAATTGTTCTTCAATAGGTCTCGTCTTTGGCTCAAAGATCCTGGTAGTAGAAGTATCAAAGAGCACTTCCTTCTTACCCGTGGCAAGATTCTTTATGTCCATGACCTCATTCCATTTACCAGTAATAGAATATAATGATTCACCAGTATTAGTATTTTTTATAGTACCTTCAATGGCATCATAAGTACCACTTATGAACCCTTTCGTTTTGAAATCGATATTAGCTTCAAACCCGGTCTTAGGACACTTGATAACCATCTGATCTCCCAATTCATACCGTAATTTGCCAAATAATATACCTCTACAGTATACGTTTGGCTGGTTCATTATATAAGTTTCACCGCCCCTGTTTCCTAATTGCACATGTCCCCATCCGTTCATAAGGGCTGCGGATGAGTTACCCAAAAATTTCGATTGCGGAATAACCACCCCGTCGACTCTAATCTTACGTTCTGGTATCAAATAGAAGTATGAAGATTTTGGTGGATGGTGCGATGTCTGTTCAGATATGTAATAAGCTGTGCTATCCCCTGGAAGGTTATCCCAGTAGCACGCAAAAAGCTCTCCCAAGATTGGATTTAATGGCTTCTTGACTGCCTTTGGTGCAATGTGCCATGACGCCAAGTACCATTTCACCATCAACACAAATCTCATCAATGCATCGTCCGTTGCATCGGCTTCAAGCAAAAGGTCAGGGATTTCGAAGAAATTGGTAATTCTCTCTAACATAGATTTCTTCTCTAAAATAAACGTGGGGAGCGTAATTTTCGACAAATCACATCCTGGTCTTAATTGCGAGATAATGCCCATCAATATGGACTGTCCTTCATTATCAATTTCGTCAATATCATCCGTATCGTTTGAACTGTGCTTGCTCCCTTCTGGAACTCCTTCTTCAGTTGCTGTCTCACCCACTGGAGTCGTTGTGCCCGAATTGCCACTCGAACTTTGACCCCTATCTGATTTAAGCTTTAACCTGTCCAATTTTGACGTTAATCCCATCCTGATAAGCAATACTACTGGTATATCTGGTTAAAAAAAGATCTTAAGGTTCCTTAGATAAAGCGCAAATTGTTACTAAATTTCCTTCAAGGCCCGCGAAATAAACGTATCTCAATTTCTGGGCCATTTTTCAGTTTTTCAACCATAATTTCCCACGCTACAGACCCAATTGGGTATTGAAACTGACAATACACGTAATTAAGAATGGTCTCGTAGAGTCTAGTTGGTTAAAATGGTATTTGACCGTTTGTAGGGTTGGAAATCCTTCTAATTGTAATATCCATATCCGGGTAATACCATACACCATCTCAAGGAAATTCTGGAAGAAAGACGTATGAATAGTGTTTTTAGTAGTCAGTAATATAACAGGAGTCTCATGAATTATCAAGCCTATGGAGTAACACCTCCTATATCAGTGGCCAATCCTACGCCGAAGGAGAACAGTTTGAATGATTCGTTAATCAAAGAATTAAAGGCGAGAGGGTCGTTTGAGAGCGAGGCAGCGACCAAGAAGAGGGTAGAGGTGCTTCATATATTGCAAAAATTGGTTGAGGAATTTGTTTACACGGTGTCAATCAACAAAAACATGAACGAGGGGATGGCCAAGGATGCTGGGGGGAAGATATTTACGTTCGGGTCGTATAGGTTAGGGGTTTATGGGCCAGGATCAGATATCGATACGTTGGTTGTGGTACCTAAGCATGTTACTAGAAGCGATTTTTTTGATGTTTTCGAGAAGATTTTGAGGAAGAGACCAGAATTAGAAGAGATAGCGCTGGTTCTGGATGCATACGTCCCAATTATTAAGATGGAGTTTGGAGGAATCTCGATAGATCTTATATGTGCCAGATTGGACATCCCTCGGATTCCCAAAGACTTGAAATTGGACGATAAGAACTTACTTAGAAACATTGACGAGAAGGATCTTCGGTCGTTGAACGGTACTAGAGTTACTGACGAAATTTTGACTTTAGTGCCGAAGCCGACGGTATTCAAGCATGCGCTTAGGTGTATTAAAATGTGGGCCCAACAGAGAGCCATTTATGCCAATGTATTTGGATTCCCCGGTGGTGTTGCTTGGGCGATGTTAGTGGCAAGAATATGTCAGCTTTATCCAAACGCGGTAAGTGCTGTTATTGTCGAGAAATTCTTTCATATATACGCCCAATGGAGCTGGCCCCAACCGGTGTTACTTAAGCCGATAGAGGACGGACCTTTACAAGTAAGAGTCTGGAATCCAAAACTCTACCCTCATGATCGTCAACATAGAATGCCTGTCATCACACCCGCTTATCCATCAATGTGCGCCACTCATAATATCACCAGTTCTACTCAGAAGATTATTTTAGAGGAATTCAAAAGAGGCATTGATATAATGAGTCAAATCAGCATGAATAAAAGCACCTGGTCTGATCTCCTTGCTAGACATACCTTTTTCTATAAGTATAAGTTTTACTTATGTATTGTAGCAGCAACTCAGGGCTCGGCTGAAGATCATCTTAAATGGGGAGGAATGGTTGAAAGTAGATTAAGACTTTTAATTCAAAAATTAGAAATGACTGAAGGCATAGAGATTGCTCATCCATATGTAAAGCCTTTCGAAAATAGCTATGCTTGTGAAAATCAAACCCAAGCTGAAGAGGTTATAAACACCTATGGAACTCTTCAAGGTGAAAGTATCACCAAGGATCTTCCAGAGCCAAAGAAAGATAAAGATAAAGAAAATAATGAAATAGAAAATAAAGAAAATGAGAATAAAGAGGAAGAAAATAAAGAAGGAAAGCCAAATTCTGAATCTATAGAGATTCACCTTACAAAGCTCTTCGTTGGTTTAGATATCGACTTAAACAAAGGAAGCGACAAGAAACTTGACATCCAGTATCCATGCTCTGAATTCTTCAATATATGTAAGGGGTGGCAATCATACGACGAAAAGCTTCATTCTATTCAAATAAAGCATGTCAAACTTTACGACTTACCAAATGATGTATATATCGAAGGAGAAGAAAGACCAGTTAAAAATTCCAAACGGAAAAGATCATCGACAAAAGATCAAGGTAAAAAGAGGCCTAAGAGTGTCGGTACTGCTACTACGGTAGCAAGTAGTTAATATTATATTTTTTATTATTTCACTATATAAACCGATAAAAAAAACTTCTTGCGATGCAACATTACTTTTAGTTTCTTAAACTAAGGTTCTCCAAATTCTTAAATACATAGGTACCTCCTCTTCATTTGTATCTCCATCAATCTCATAATTCATTAAATCAGTATCATTTTCCCGTCTACCCGTATCTAAATCTATTTTGTCCAACTTTATATACAATCTCCAATTTCTCGAATAGATTTTATGACAAACATAAAACAACAATATCACGAATACTCCTAAATAGTTTTGGAAGAAACTCTTTACATTTGCCTGGCCATTACTGCCAATTGGAAATAATGCAACCCAGAATTGGACACCCAACACAACTATAAGGAAAACCATGGAATAAAGAGAGCCCCAAATGCCTGTAATCGATGTGAATGATAATTCATCAGTAGATCTTCCTTGATACCTCAAAGCAGCCCTGAATCTTAAGTGACACAATCCAATACTAAACCATGAAAAAATGGTAGCTAACCCACTAACACTTAACAACCAATTAAACACTTCACCTTCATTTTCATAAGCACTAAGGAAACATAACAACCCAAAAACTCCTGAACATGCTAATCCTGCTAGTGGTCTACCACGACGATCAACATAATTAAGTATCTCGGGCCCTAATCCTTGGGCTCCTAAACTTTGAATTGTACGAGAGCATCCATAAACAGCTGAATTACCCACGGAAAGGACTGAGATTAAAATCACGGCATTGAAAATTGAAGGCAAAGCTTCAATACCACCGATTTTAATTGCAATAACAAAAGGAGATGCAGATCCACTGCTAGATGATCCTAATAATTCATCTGAATCATACGGCACAATAAGTCCAATGAACATTAACGATAAAATATAGAAAAGAAAAATTCTCCAGAAGACTTGCTTGATGGCTTTTGGTAATGTTTTCTTTGGATTAGCTGTTTCAGCTGCTGCAAGCCCAACCATTTCTGATCCTGCCAAACTGTATGATGCAGTCACAAACACGGTACAAACACCTTTAAACCCATTTGCAAATGCTCCAGGATTATGAAAATTTTTACCACCAATGAAATGGTGGGTTGGACCGCCTCCGCAGACCAATACAACACCTAATATTATAAACCCGACAATTGCAATTATCTTGATTATGGCTAAGAAAAATTCGGCCTCACCATAACCCTTAACCCCAAATAAATTTATAACGAAAATGAAGATATAAAAGATAACCACCCATGCAACAGGGTTGATTGAGTTATCCCAATATTGAATCGACATCGCCGCAGCAACTAATTCTAGCGGAAGCACAATTAGCCACATTAAAGCATAGTTCCATCCCACTGCAAAACCCCATGATGGGTCAACAAATCTTGTAGCATAACTTGAAAAAGCACCACTGATAGGAAAAGCAACACATAACTCCCCTAATGCATGAATAGTACAGAAAACCATCGTACCTACGAGCCCCCAAGCTATAAGCAATGCAGCCGGTCCACCTGTTCTCAAAGAAGACCCACTTCCAATTAATAAACCAGTCCCCACACTTCCACCAATTGCAATCATTTGTAAATGCCTATTTTTCAAATCTCTTAATAAAGGTGACTTTGAGGCACCTATATTGGCTTTTTCTATGTCATCTAACTGATCGTTATATTCTTGTGGTTTCTCTTTCTCTGGTCTCTTGAATGAATCTCTAAAACTCTGCCATCTCGTTGATGTGTTCTCGTTTGTTCCAGAGTCATTGGAACTGAATCCTCCAATAGCACTCTCGACAACGCTTCTAGCATCATCCTTATCTGACATAGCTATATACTTACTCTATATCAGAAGAAGATCATAGGAAATATCTCCAACGTTTTTTTTGAAAAAACCCATAAGGCATATCCTGTTTGGAAAGGTTAATCTGTATGGCACTTTCGTTAATGCAGGTTTGCGACTCTTTTTCACTTTCTTTTTCCGCTCTTAAACGGAAACTACAGCACCTCACGAGCCTATAGAATAGCTAATATAGTAATTATAGTCAGATAGCAAACAAGGTAAGCAATTAGGCCATATTTTACTTGGGTACTTATCATCTACTTCCTTAAAAAACCTGAGCGATCAATCTGCTCAAAATACTTATAAGATGCCATTAAAACTGACTCATATTTTGCAAAAATTCTCAAAATTAGTGTCTTAAAAAAATTAATCGCAAAAACTTCGAATGTAGCCTAGTATAACGAATGATTAAGTTATTCTTAATATCACTGATACAAGTTTTGGAAAGATCAAATATAAGTGTGTAGTAGCCACATATCTTAGCATTTATCTGTATGTAGTACTCTCAAAATTTTTTCTATATCTTTATATATTTTACGAATATAGTATCGTATCGGTAACTGATACCAAATGATATCTTGACTTCAGGCTTATAGCAAATCCTACACATACATGGACACCATATATCTATATATGTATATATCTACATATATATTGTATGTTGCTTTGAAGGTATAAGTATAACTTTGTTTCTGGAAGTAGGGTGTACCAGCATACAAAAAAAAAATAAACTATAAACTTTATAAAAAAAACCTCTCTAAAGTAAACGAATATAAACAAGCATAATCTAATCTAATCTAAACGGTTATAACCCTGTTAGTCTTTTCCATTTTAGAGCTATCTACAATTTAGTAAACCTTAATCGATTCGAGCGGTTACATTTATTCTCAATCTCGCTTTTAATCGGTAATGAAAGGATAGCGAGGGTAATAAAGGGATGCGCGCCACACGGAGTTCGAATTTTGCGTCCTACTATGTAATACAACACGATGCCTAGTGCCAAATATAGCATAGACCGTTGCCCGTAATTAGACATTAGTTACATCAATACGATTTTTTCATTAGAAGTAGTGTTTATTCGTGAAAATCTATTTCAGGTAAGATATTAAAAAGAAAAATACTATTTATTATATGATATAATATCCACCCCAACATAATAAAGCCACTAGTAATAAAGCGAGCCTTCCTTTCGGAGTACAGACAAACCAAAGACCTTGGCCAATTGAAAAGTCACTTATTCTTCTAATATATCCTTGTATAAGCTTGTCGAGTACGGTAGGTTTCATGTAAATTTGAGTTGTGCCAATAATCGATTCCTCAGAAACATTCAATCCTTGGTCGTTTGTATCGTGTTGAAAATGATTATTAGGAGTTTCACTGGGAAGCACCTGTAGGTAGCCATGTGGTGAAATAATAGATTCAGGAGGATTTGTGGGAACGGTTATTGATAAGTAGACTGGTCGATGATCTGACGAAAGTATGGACTGTATGGAGCCGTATTCATGTATCTGGGGCCATATCGAAGCTTCCTTTTTGCGGGACAAAACCAGACGCAGATTATACTTATACGTTGATTGATACAAGATCCTATCACACCACGAAGGAGACCGTTTACGATTATATATTGCGGTGTTCAAGTGGTATTTGTAAGTGGGCCTGAAATTAATACATGCCTCACTAAAACCAGCAAATATATTATCATTGTGTCTTCCTTGTGTCAATTCATCGTAATTTCTGACAAGATCTTCTATATTACCATGGTTGAGTTTGCTCTGGTCTTGTAAATTTAAAAGCTGACTAGACGAAGTAGAATTGGGATCATACTTTTTAGAAGTACGGTAGTTTAGATCCCCCATGACAAAACAATGGGCCTTTGGTTTCAATAAACTGTAACCATCCCCAAAGTCCATAGATCTCATTAATTGCGTGACTTCGTTATTTCTCTTCTGGAAGTAGTGATCGCCTTCATAAGCAGATAAGTGGAAATTAGCAAATGTCATCTCCACCATGCCTTTCGTAGATTCATGCCTTCCCTCTGGCATATATGATAACCGTATACCTGCTGCTCCTTTCATCGAAGAATACCCGTATCCGCATCCGCTTCTGCCTAGTCTAAGTTTATGAAATTTCAGAGGGTATGGAGTAATAGCAATAATACCGATTGCCCCAATATGGTTTATACCAATTGTATGGAATTTGACATCTTCTGTCCCATATTTTCTATTCAACGCCTCAATAAAGAACCTATTAAACTTAATCAAGTGATTACTTGCACTCTCCGTAAAACATCCATCAATAATTGGACATAATTCTTCTAATCCAAAAACATATAATGTTGATAATTGCTCAGGTAATGATTCAATAATTTTTGGAAGAACCAATTCATAATCAAGGATTTGTTTATTACAGTTATAAGTTAATAAATATAATGGAATGTTATCATTATTGTCTGTCATTTTGAATTATAGCTGTCAATTATTAATAGTGATTATCTTGATAAATTAAATTTCAGCCTTTAGTTGAACTGTGCGCATGAAGATACTAAAAATTAGTTTAAGAGTTTTGTTATAAATTTCACTTTAACAGTAAATGTCTTTGCTCGAATCACAACGGTCTATTCTAGAAGAAATAGATGTTCTAGAACAAGCTATTTCTGAGAGACTTCAAAGAAATCCTCTGTTGTTGCCATCATCTCAGAAACCAACTGATGTGACAATGTTATCATCTAAGAAGAGGCCTATGAAGGAAGAGTTATTGCAGCAACATGAGTTAAATTTCTTGAAAAATAAGTATAAGAGACACTGTCTAACTATTTTAGAAAATAAAAGTAATAAAAGGAAACACTTTGAAGAGGAATCAAATAAGTTGAAAGACCCATCATATGAATTTAAACTATTTGATTCTATGTTGAGCGACATAAAGCAGCATCATGAAATCCAAACCGAGAGAACCCAAGATGAAGATATATCCAAGATCTACAAAATGTACTCTAGTGCACCAAAGGCAGAGGAGAAGCTTAATAAGAATGACAAATTAAAGGTCAAAAGGAAGTATATTCTTAGCTCAGTTGCATCACATATTGACTTCGATGAGATGTTCACTCCTGATGAATTATACGGAAAATATCTAGATTTATTTCCATTCTATGAAACGTATAAATCAATAATAGACCATAACATTACGTATGTTGAGTATTTATACATTTATGATGAAGTTCCGTATGAAACAACGAAGAATAACAACGCTGCGTATTCCAAATATATTAAAGATCTTGCAGAATATTTATTGAAATTCATAGAGAAGGTTCAACCGTTGTCGAGTATTACTGACCTTCAAGCAGATATGGCGAAACAATTTTCAGCTTCATTTAAAGCACATACGGATGGAAAACCAAACGATAAAGGTGAAGTCTATTGTGACGCATGCAAAAAATTGTTTGCAAAGGAATCGGTATATAGGGGACACTTGAATGGTAAAAAGCATCAAAAAAACGTCAAGAACCAGAATAATTTTGCATCTGACACTCCAAATTCAAACAGAGTTAGAGATTTGGAATTCTGCGAGTTCAGAGTAAGATATTTAGGGCAGAAACTTAATGAATATAGAACTCCAACCATATCAAATGCAGAGAGAAAAGCAGCGTTGACAGATAGAGAACGGACGGCAGAAGCTATTTCAATTGTTGGCGATGAATCGGACTACACAACAATAAACTCAACCTCTGGTAACGAATCCGATTCGAATGAATCCAGTGATAACGATGAATATAATATGAAAGATTTACCAGTCGGAGTTGATGGGAAACCAATACCCTATTGGCTATACAAACTTCAAGGATACCACAAGACGTATGAATGCGAAATTTGTGGCAACATAACGTACAAGGGTAGGGCTGTGTTTGCTAAGCATTTCAATAGTGCCAAACACCAACAAGGTTTAGGTTGCTTAGGTATTAGTGATGATTATATGCCATTATTTAAAAGTATAGTTAAGATTGATGAGGCAATAGACTTATGGCGTAGATTAAAAAAGGACAGAAGGATTAAGGAAGGAGATACTGAAAATGCTATCGAAGTCGAAGATGAAGAAGGGAATGTCTTGTCCGAAAAGGACTACTTAGAATTGAAGAAACAAGGCCTATTGTAAAATTGTACATAGTCAAATATATGCGAGTTTAGCCGTCTCGGTATTATCACTGAAAAATTTATGTAATCCGAATCATTTTTTATATTTGCATTTCGTATATTAAGCATCACAGCTTTGATGGTAATATATAGAAATAGATTACTGCAATTCAAATATAAATTCTCTAAACATTTCTATAAAAGCTTAAGTTCCATGTCGAAAGAGGAAGCAAAAGGTGTTAAAAGATCACCTTCTCCAACGGATATTAATCCTGCTTTAACGCCAAAGTTAAGAGATTCATTGGGATTTCGAATGAAAAGACAAACTATAGACAAAAAGACTTTAACAGCATATCAGCTGCTCGGAGGCGAAGAATCGAATGATGATACAAATACATTATCTAAAACCAAAACCATCCACGAAGAAGAAGCTGAAGGAGCAAGTTATTCTATTGACGGAAGACTTAGAAGAGTTAATCCGTATTTTTTCACTTATTTGACGTACTGTAAGATGAGATGGAGAGATAGGAAATTACTTGATATTTTTGTTAATGAATTTAGGGATAGAGATGCTGACTTTTATAAAAAGACAATTGCTGCAGGTCAGGTTACCTTGAATAAGAAGCCTGCCGACTTGGACTCCATAGTGAGAAACGGAGACTTAATTAGTCATAGATGTCACAGACATGAACCATCAGTAAGTTCTCGTGAGATAAAAATTGTGCATGAAGATGAAAATATTATAGCCATTGACAAACCATCAGGTATTCCGGTACACCCTACAGGTAGATATCGTTATAATACTATAACTAAGATTTTTCAGCACGAGTTTGGTAAAGTTGTGCATCCATGCAATCGATTAGACAGATTGACAAGTGGCTTAATGTTTTTAGGTAAGAATGCTAAAGGTGCAGATGGTTTTGTCCAACAAATCAAAGATAGAACAGTTAGAAAGGAATACATTGCGAGGGTAGTTGGTAAATTTGATATAGAAGAAGTTGAAGTAGACAAACCATTAAGAACCATTTCTCCTAAGCATGGATTAAACAGAGTTGATTTCGAGGAGGGTAAAGAAGCAAGGACTGTATTTAGAAGAATATCTTACGACCCTGACTCGAATACTTCTATCGTAAAATGCTTCCCATATACTGGAAGGACTCATCAACTTCGTGTGCATTTGCAATATATTGGACATCCTATAGCTAATGATCCAATTTATTCTAATTCAGCTGTTTGGGGAGAAAATTTAGGCAAAAATGGGGAAGGAGAGAATGAAGACATTATAATTAAACTAGATCGTATTGGCAAAGATAAGGCGTCATCAACTTGGATACATCCTCAGGAAGACGGAGAAATTTTATCTGGTGATTTATGTGATATCTGTAATACTGAGTTATACACTGACCCAGGCCCAAACGACTTAGATTTGTGGTTACACGCTTATAAATATGAAGCAGCCGATAAATCTTGGTCATATAAGACAGAATACCCAGAATGGGCTACTATGCCTCATAGAAAATATATGGAATTAGCATTAGAAATGGCAAATAAATGTGGTGAAACGCAAACGCAATTTAATGTGGGTGCAGTATTAGTGAATAATGGTGAAGTACTAGCAACAGGGCATTCTCGTGAATTACCAGGTAATACACACGCTGAACAGTGTGCATTGGAAAAATATTTCGAACAATCCGGTAAAAGAGAAGTTCCTCCTGGCACCGAAATTTATACTACTATGGAGCCATGTTCGTTGAGATTAAGTGGTAACTTGCCATGCGTTGATAGAATATTAGAAACAAGCATTAAAACATGTTTTGTGGGAGTTGTAGAGCCGGACATCTTCGTAAAGAATAATTCCGGATACTCTAAATTGACTGAGCATGATGTAGAATACATTCATATTCCAGGATATGAGGAGCGTTGTTTGGAAATTGCTAAAAAAGGACATGAGAAAATTGAATAACTTTGATTAAAATAATAAATTATATATTATTGCATATTATGTTTCATGATCAGATACATCAATTATCACCTCTCTCGTTGAATAAACAAATACGTCTCTTCTGTTTTGTCCCGTAGAATTGTTCAAATTATTAGAATCTCGCCAATTTGAAGAATTAGTGGTTCTATGTATGCCATTATTATTAACAAATCTAATAGTGTTATTATGGTCGTTACTTGCGTGATTTTCCCGATTTTCATTGCCTCTACCCATTGAGTTCTCACGTCTATGGTTTAAGTTATCCATCCGTAATATTTCAACATTATTTGCACTTATAGGTGTTCCTGTGAAAGCACTTGCTGACCTCGGAATACCCAAACCTTTGGCAATGACATTATCTGTTATATTTAGAAATGTTTCTTTTGCTCTTCTATAAGTCTCGTATATTGATTGGAAACCTTTATCATTACCATCAAAGTGCACAGGACGATAACTCTTGTGGGCACTTTCACCATCCCGGTGAAGGTCATTTCTATTTCTGCTCTGATCACTATCGTTGACTCCTTCAGGGGTACGTTCATTGCCACTTCTGCTATCAGTCAGATTAGCATCATTTCCATCTTCATTATCTTCATCATCTTCACCGTCTTCGTCTACAAATAGCTCGAACCTGTCAAGCTCATATAACTCATCTTCATAAAATTTTCTTCCTAGAACACCTTCTTTTTCTTTTGCTTTCATTATGCTATTATATTTATTACACCATTCCCAAGGTATTACAACACCAATATCGTAAGTAACAACGGAGAAAATTTCCGACAATTCATAAACCCAAGCATTCGAAACGTCTGCAATAAAGAATGCAACAGGACTATAAATTAATACAACTGTTAGTAAAGTTATTAGCCAAATTTTCTTATTGGCTATTATATAATTGATTTTCATTAATACAAACACGGAAATCAAAGCCGCGTAGCACACACCCATGGCAATTCTCACCAAATACTGAAAAGCAGGTAAAATATCACCAGCTTCACTATCTTCAGAAAACGAATGGAATCGAGAGATTGCCCATAAAACTTGTGAGGTGATAGATGCAGATACTCCAACGAAGAAGGTCAACCGCTTATCTTTCTGCCTCAGGAATATACGCATAATGATCTGAACCTGATTAATCTGTAGCAAAAACACAACTATAAGGTCTATGATATTAAGTGTCAAACTTGAGTTCATAAAATCAAAGAGCATTGCTCCATGCAAGAACCCCTGTTTCTGTTGTTTATGAAGCTCAACTATAGCCATAATTACGGCAATTAGCAAGTATAATGAAGATAAAGTAGTGGATGCCCTTAATAACAATGAAGGCTTGATTGTATAATTTGTAATGACGAATATATTCAAAAACCAGGTTATCGCGGCCAGGATCGATATGGAGTAAAGCACAGGCACCACACTGTATGCGAATGACCCTTTAGAACTATTGGACGTGAAATCATGCCATGTCTGGTCCGCTATCGGCAAAGACCCAGCAAATTTATTTAACATTAGTCCATTATTAGTATTTAGCATAGGAACGGCATGTTTGTAACACTTCTGTTGAAAAATGCTTCGCCTGATGAATTGTGATTCAAAATTTGAATTTTGTGATATCAATAAACCTTCTGGAAGAGAAAGCTGTTCACAAGCCGGATACAGAACTTCTGGCCCTTCGTCTAGTCTCCAATACATTCCATTTAACAGTGAGCTAATTATAAAGAAATGTTTCATGACGCCCTGCCTTGTATTTAGTTTAGACAAGAAATATTGTTCACGACATTTTGAATAATACGACATTGCGACCGTAAATGTCGTTAAGACAAGATGGACCAAAACCTCAACCTGGTCATAAATCATGACATATAGGTCTGTTTCACAAGCTACAATAGGTTTATTATTAGTGACAAATAGATCACGAGAAGCAGAATAGATACCAACATATAAAAGAAAATGGTTTCGACTGGTGAAAGTGGTACGGACTATGTTTCTACGTTGGATCCATCCTCTCAAATTCAAGGTACAAACGCTTTATTGTCAACTCCCAGAGCAAATCATCAGCGTTCAGATTCATCGTATTCAAATAATTATTCACTTTTAGACTTTTATGGAATGGATTCCCCACATATAGGCTCACCAGAAGTTAAAGAGAATGGAATTATAGATGAAACTATCGTGGTTAGTCGAAATGGGGATGGAATCACTGAATCAACAAACGACGATACGATAGAAATACAAGCAGACGATATTGGATATCGTGAAAGCTACGTCAAACCAACTAAAACCTCTAATATAGAAGAACTTTTGCATTCACAATTTAATAGATATGGGTTTAAAAAGGAATCGACCCATCACAATATAACTAAGGAAGCATACGACGAATGGTTTAGAGATTACTCGCAATACAGCATCAAAAGAAAGAAAAAATGGCATGTTTTAATGAAAAGCAACGGGTTAGAATTAGAATCAGATGACACAATTCCCACTCGGTTTCCTCCCAAGTCTGATAAAGTTAAAAAAATGGTTCGAAAGGGTATACCTGCTGAGTGGAGAGGTAACGCGTGGTTCTTTTATGCTGGAGGACACGAAAAGCTCAATAAACATATAGGAGTCTATGAACAGATAGTACGCGATACGAAAGACATACACAACAAGGATATCGAAGTTATTGAACGTGATTTGAATAGAACGTTTCCTGACAACATCTACTTTAACGACGTTATACGGAATCGTACTTCTAGTACATCATTCAATAATAACACTTCCGAAACTTATATGATAAAGTCGTTGCGTCGAGTTCTTGTAGCATTTGCACATTACCAACCACAAATCGGATACTGCCAATCGCTCAATTTTTTGGCGGGGTTATTGTTGCTTTTCATGGAAGAGGAAAGGGCATTCTGGTTATTGGTCATTTTGACTGAGAGGATTATTCCCAAGGTGCATTCGGCTAACTTAGAAGGTGTACATACTGATCAGGGTGTTTTGATGCTTTGCATAAAGGAATATATTCCGCAATTGTGGTCCATTTTGGGGAAAAACTTTGAAGGAGAGACATTATCAGAGGATAAAATCTTAGCTAGATTACCACCCGTGACGTTGGTCACTTCTTCATGGTTTATGTCAGTATTTGTGGGCATACTACCAATAGAGTCTACCTTGCGTGTATGGGATATTTTGTGGTACGAGGGTTCCAAAACCATCTTCAGAATGTCGTTGACCATTTGCAAAATGTGTTTGGATAATCCTCACTTTCAGCATACCAAGCTAGAAGGTGGAGGTGGTGCCGAAATGGAACAAATAGAATTATTTCAATTTATGCAAAACTTTCCCAAAACCATTCTTGACTCAAATGCACTTATAGATAATTGCTTTAAAAAAATTGGTGGATATGGATTTGGCTCATTGTCTCAGGATGAAATTAACAAATGCAGGGAATTTGTATCCAAACAGAGAGCAAAATTAAATAGTAAGAAGAGCAGTGTTGCGGCAGAGATGAGCGAAGAAGAAAGGAAAGCATTAATTTCAACGGGTACTCCATTTGACTACGGTGATAATGATATTCACGATGTTTATGGTTTTAATAGGTCAATAATGAGTGGTGTTACTTGGAACAAGAATATTAGTAACAAAATGAAGAAGAAGTTTAGTAGAAAATCTAAATAGTTATTTAAATGTACATTATTATACTGAAGTATTGATTAGGTGAAGCATGGTATTCACACTACCCAAAATATATCATTTGGTTGATCTAAGCTTATTCTGTTTGATAGTCTAGTAGTCGTATATCCCAAAGCAATGCAATATCCTTATTTAATTTCACGGGCATTAGACCCAATATTTGCTGTAAGTATCGGAGTTGCTTCTTATTATTTGTACGAACAAAGAACTGGAAGACCTGAAGGGCATCATTTAAATGAATTGGTTATGAGGAAGTACACTTCATGGGTTAAGCCAGAAAAATAGATTTAATAATGATATAGAATCTAGGACATGACGAAATAAAAAATATGGATGAAATAAAGAATATTTGGTTGAAATGAAGGTTAATGCATAATAAATTATGAAATTTATTGAGATCTATGTCAATTCAATTACTTGGGTCGAGAAGCGGAGAGCTTTGAAGTCAACGACATTACGTCTATCTAGGGTATGATTATTATTTTTAGTATTTATATAGCGTATATTATCATAATAATATATTAGTATCATTTAAAACCACTTTTTAATTTCGCTAATGCTTTGTTAGCCAAGTCTTCGCTACCAAGGTCTTCTACCAAAACCTTATATATTTTAGCCCAAGTATCTTCCGATACGACTAGAGAATTATTGCTGACATCAACAGGTATGACGTCCTCAATCTTGTCATCTGTAGGATCTGCTGTGTTATCTGGCTCTGATGTTGGTTGGTTTACCATACACATGAATGATATAGCTTGACCTTCATTAACCAAAGAAACCAATGATGCTGTGTCTTGAATGACCTTACCCTTTACTAGCAATTTCAAATGAGTAGGTTTTACATTAGCGTCCTTCAATAACGGCAATGACTCAATCAAGTCAGATTTCATTTTGTAAATTGTGTGAGAAACTGGCACTTTTGACAATTGAGTAGAAAACTTGAATGGTGGTTTTATAGACTTCAAAGACACTTCAGTGGTATTCTCTGTTGTATTAGTTTGTGCTGATTTGCCTTTTGGCAATGTAACCTTAATTTTAGGCAAAGATGGACCTAAAGAGGACAACTTATGATAATCTGCTGTCGAATAAAATTGATCAGACTTGGCATCTGCTGATAAACCAATGAGTTGCAAGAATTTAGAAGCAAACTCTCTTTCATTCTGAGCGGAAACAGACATAGTATTATATGTGATTTGTGTGAAATTGTTTGTTAAATATGTTGATACAATATCTTCAAGATTTGTGTTCTGAAATCTCAATTTTGTTAGGACCTTTTTTTAACCGACTAAATCCGTCTGTATGGCAAAGATTAAATTCTTTACCACAAGTATCACATAATCTGTATACCTATTAGAGAATGAGTTTCTTCAAGTCATTTAAAAAGAATCAAGCCAATTATACACCATTGTCCCAAAATGATGATGGAGCACCTTTACCAGCACCGGTAACCAATAGTAGTGGTTCCACTCCGAATTCATTTAAAACTCGATTAGCTAAACTCAATCCCTTCAGAAATAATTCTGTTTACCTTGAAGATGATGAAAATTACGTTACCTCCGAACCTGGTTATTTTGAATTGTCTAGATGGGATAGAATGTTGATCTTTGGATTAACATTTGCGGGATCAGTGTCGTGTTACTTAATTTGCATATTTTTGTTTCCAATTTTATCTTTAAAACCAAGAAAGTTTGCATTATTATGGTCTCTAGGATCCATATTCTTCTTAGTTAGTTTCGGTGTGTTACAGGGGTTTAAAGCTTACATGCAACATTTATTTCTGTCTACCAGGATAATATTCACAATTATATTTGTTACAAGTATCATATTAACCTTAGTAAGCTGCTTATCATTGAGAAGTACGTTACTTTCTATAATATTTGCGGTGATACAATTGATAAGTGCCATTTGGTATACTGTTAGTTACTTCCCTATGGGACAGCAAACATTAAATCTAGCTGGAAGCGTTGCTAGGAGCCAAGTCGATAGCTGGATAAGATCTTAAAGAATAACATGTCTAATAATGTATAACTATATAACTATATCTCATATTTAATTACTATATACTTTTAAAAATCCTTCTTCATCCAGTTCAGAGAATTCAGTAAATGCAGTGCTTAAGCCTTTTTCCACCACTTTTGCAATAGCTGCATTAGCAGTTGAATCTACCTTGGAAGCATGTGATAATCTCACAGCCATTTCTCCAATTTGTCTTAACTTCTTCTCGTTGTAGGGGTCTAGGATTCTATTCAAATTCTTAATTGCTTGCATCGCCAAAATATACTTGCCTTCTTTACAATATAAATCAAAAGCCAATTCCCAAGTTAATCTATTATCCTTAGCTTCTTCAGTTAAAGGTTTCACTAAATCAAATAA